TCTTAGCACGCAAAGACTGCGGACGTCGCCATCTCTCTAATCGAGCGCTCTTTGTTTACTTACCACTGTCTCTCCCATGCACGAGCTATCTTGGTCGGACGCAATGGCGCCCAGTCTTTGCGTGTCATGAATCGTGTATACATTTTTTGCACAAACTATATTTGTAGTAGTGTAGGACCACAATTGGTTTCTAACGAGTTCTTTTGGTGAAAACTACACCCAGAGACCAATTCGAACTTTTCTGCTCTCTACACTTACAAACAGGTGAGACCAGAATTGGCAATAAGTTTGCAAAGAAGCCGTAACTTCATCAAAAACGCTATGGACAGATTTCCTTTTCGCTTGTTGGTAATGTTAACAACTGAGTCTATAAGTTAAGGCTGAAAAGGATACTTTATCGATGAACACTCAGCACGTATAACTCCCTAAGCGGTTTCACTGTTCTTTCCACCCTTGTCATACATCTACTTGACTCTACTGATATTCCACTTTATTGTGGAACACCACCGGCAAGCTAAACGCAAATAGTGCATGCAAAAAAGTCACAAAACAACAAGCGTTGCAGTTCTGCCTTTCATACATGCACCAACAATCGTGCGCTTGAAAGTCGGTTCGACTTCGAAACAGACCAGCGTACAAAGATCGGCGTCTGAAACTTCAAAAAACGTAAAAAAATAAAGTTCGTGCTCGCTGTCGCGCTCGGCGGAGAAAACTGCGCGTCGCTTCCGCGTCGCCGATCAGGGTACGCTTGTGCGTTTCGAATTCGTCGTCAAGGGGCGCGCTTTGCACAGCCATGTGTAGATTTGAATATTTGAGTACGTGTGATTTAAGTACGTGTGGTATTTGTCATTCGACGTCGTGTAAAAGCGAGATCTTGCCGCTGATTTGCTAAAGACACTAACAGATCATCATTCATCTTGGATGCCGCGTTTTGTTCAACCGCTTGAAATGAACTAAAGGCACAGTGCACCCAGATTGTCGACTTCTATGTTTTGGTCGTTCCGGGGCATTCTCATGTCCCTGATTCCGACTATGAGGTCAAGAATCCGCGGAAACTCCGACAATCTTTGTTCCGGAGAACACGTAGGCCGGTCCGAGCGGTGATTGAATGGGCGCGCAAGGATGGGCGCACATCACTCGAGGGGACGGTGCCGACTTGCGGTCCTCATGCCTTTTCGCTATTTCGAAGCGATTTTCTCGCTTTTGAATAGCGAAAAGCCAACTCCAGAATAGCGATTTTACCGCTACTTGGACATTGGCTTGACAGGAACTCCCACTATCCTAAACTGCCCGACTGAAGATCTCTAAAGGGTGACGGTGCCTTCAAAAACAAGTCTGGCACCTGCCATACTTGACGTAAGGGTGAGTACACACTGTTTCCGGAAGAGTATGAAGTATGCACCTAGAATAAAAGCCGAATGCATGAACATAACCGCAGGGGAAGAGTATAACTCAAAAAAAGCTTCATTTGGATTTCCAAGTCTAGGGTTCGTAAAGGCCATTTGAAAAATTGTGACAATGGAACGACCGCGCGCGACAAGCACAAATGGCAACCGCATTCTCTAGGTTTTCATCTCTATTTTACTGGTCTTTCTGCTTACGCATGATAGTATCTAAACACTGGAGGTGACTGAGCTGAGCGTCAAGGTGATGCATTTTGTATGAATGTTTTATGCTAATATGGGCGCAAAGGCCGCAGTCAAATCTGTCGTCACGATTTTATAAATGACCCGTACTATCTATTCATTTTCAAGAACTTCCACTACCCTCTACCACGCATATCTAAACGGCAGCGCGTTTAGATTGTTTGAGTAGCATTTCCCTTTTTATATACCCGGCGACCGACCGCTTTTATCTCTTCAGTCATTTTCCTCGCTTTATTTGATGGAAAAATTCCAAAGTTGTGCTGACTTGGAACAGCAGTGCTAAGCAGGAAATGGTCAGAACTTAACCCAGCCATTTCATGGAAACTGTATATCATCGGACTCGTCTTGGAAAGCTGATTTTGAATATTCTATTATCTGCCAAGCGCTATATGGAAAAAGTTACGAGCGTTTAAATACAAGAATTTTATGGAGTTTCGACGAATGCATTTCCTTGAAAGGCAGCCTGATGGCGCGCACTTACAGTGGCTATGCTTATTCGAATTACAAGAAAAAAGCACTTTCACCAAAAACCTAAATAGTTGTTTCTGAAACCTATTTTGTGGAACATGGGCCGCAAAACACTTGACAATCGCACATTCAAACGCTCATAACCAGAGTCGAGCAAGAGGTATAGCACACAAGCGCCAAATATGACCCCTCCCCCTCCCCCCAACCAATGGGCCAAGTTTTAGCAAATTCTGAGCATTCACAATATTGGGTTCACCCAAGTGAAGTGAACATTTTCGAAGAATATTAAATATATTTCGAAAGTGAGTTAGCTAACTCTTTTTGTACACATACAAAGCACTGCTCCCTATTTTCCCATACCATAAATGCTGCTTCACATGACCATCAACTATGGAATTAGAAGCAGGACAAAATCTCGTTTGTCCCATTTTTCGCTTCCAATGGCTGCGCATTCAACGGCTTTTACTTACGAGGGAAGAATACCAACAGTAGCCGGCGATTGCAGATGAGATGTATATCAGTAGACGCGCCTTTGAACGCTGATTCCAAATCTGCTTTTCTTTTTTGCGAAGCAAGTTTTCGAGAAGTTATGAGCGTTTGAATGTCCAAATTTGCCAAGGTTCAGGTGGCCTAAAGTTACCGAAAAGTTGTACAAAATCGCCGGAAAATGGAAAATCAGTTGTATCGGGTTTATTGTTTGCAACGAAAGAACAAAGCCGGTGGAAATCGCTTGGGTATTGTTTAAGAGCTTTTCGTTAATTTTAAGCCACTCAATGCTTGGCAAATTTGGACATTCAAAGGCTCATAACTTCTTTCAGAAATCTATTCCGCAAAAAAGGAAAGCAGATTTAGAATTAGCGTTTGATAATGATATACATCCCATGTTCAATCACCGACTAATATTGGTATCTTTCCTTTATCAGAGCGAAGAAGGTGAATCAGGCCCAAATTACTCTCATGAAAACTACAAGCCTCAGGCTATCAAACCATATGTATTTTGTTCGCTAGAATTCTTTTCAGAGGAAATTTGAGTACCTCTAAAAAGCTGTGGCGGCCACAGCTTTTCAGGGGTTTGCCACACCCCACTAACTTATCTTCAAAGCACTCAAATCTCTGTCTTTTTTAAATGTGCTACTGCTAAACCTTCTTCTCCATATAACAGGAATTTCATTCAAAGTTGTTTCTCTTGGGGAAAGATATAGTCGTTTTTAGCGGGGGACGGTCAAGAGGTACGATCGGCGCGAATTTTTCGCGAAGCGACGTCGCAACGTACTTCAGCCCTTACAACAGCAGCGCTTCTGGCGCAGTCTTACTTATAGCATTAAGTCATGTATTTGCCCCCACCCTCACTCCCCTGTTTTTGCCGCCGGAATCTCTATTGACGGAGAGTCTTGGAGGCCCCAAGATTGAGCGCGGCGTGTGCGGAAGAGCGGCTTGCCGCGCGCGGCGTACCTCCTGACGTGCAGCCGTTTTTAGCTGAGCAAATGGAAAAAACCGAAAATGTTGGATTACGGTAATATGCTGAGTCTGCGCTACTATGTGAGTCCCGAGGGAAAGCGACAATAACAAGTATATTCGATAGCCTGATCCTCGTATCACAAAAGGGATTTGAGCCTGATTGGTCTTCTCTAGTCTGAGAAACTGAAGGCGAAAAATGTGACAAACGAGATTTTGGTTTGCTCTTAACTCCATCCTGGATCCCAATACGAGCAAAGAGTAGTAGTACCTTGTAGTGAGTGCAAAAAGAAGTAATTTACCTACTTACCTTTGAAACGAAGTCAGCATGTCGAAAATGATCACTTCACTTGAGTGTCCCAATAGTTGAAAGCCTCAAAATTCGCTGAAACTTGGCCCTCAAGGGTTATTTGAAATGCTAATTACGAGAATGATACTCTTATGCTTTTGGGATTCTTTTATTGTGCTTACTGTGCTGTACAAAGGTAGGCCAAAATATCAGTACTAGTATTGTGTATTGAAAAATGGGTCTGTCAGACATTGTTGAACGACATAATGGCGTTAGCATCACTATCACCTCGATAACGACCCCCCCCCTATTTCTGACCCCTCTACGACCCCCCCCCCCCAGGTGTGGCGTGCCACACCCCGCGCTTGACGCTGCTCCTAACTCTTTCCAGACAATCGATTGGCAGATAGTGAATACCTATTTGCGATCAGCGTTTCAAGGCGATTCCGATGATACACAACATGTTTGGTATGGCTGGATTAATTTGTGACCATTCCCTGCTAAGCATGCTTCTAATAAGAACAAATATGTATAAAAGTGACATGAAGTTCGATGAATCACGAGACGGAACTTGAGGCTTGTCGAAAAACTCAATCCTCTGAAAATTTATTCGTTCTTTAATGAGCATGCTTAGCACTGCTGGGGTTAACCAAATTTTAGGATTCATCAACTTCAAGCAAGAAAAATGACTCTAGAGAAAAAGATGGACCGCCGGGGCTCATCGGTGAATCATGTAAAAAGATAGAGAATGCGACTCGAGCAACAATGTGCACTCATTCCTGTTCGATACGTTTACAGCAACCACTTGATAAAATCCAAACCGGATCTTCAGCGTATGAAGCTTCCTTTTGAGCTGCGTTTCTCTTCTTCGGGGATGTTCATGCATTTTGAGTGCCGCCACACTTTCTCTATACACGACAAATCAAACTTCTCATCGTTAGATACTGATGTAAACTAGAAAAGATCCAAGCACATCACATTTTCAAATCTGTGGGTACATGAAAAATAAAACTATCGAAGCGGTGGTCAAAAATTACTTTATGAGACGTGATCGCCGCACGACTCCGTCCATTGAAATTAGAAGGTCAGAAATTTTGTAAGAATCTAGCACACAATGGATTTCGAATATCTGTTAAACTAACTTGTGCATAACCATCTCCAACGACATCATGCGACGATGTTACACTCTCACTGTTTGAAAACGTCACCGTTCGCATTTCTGCGTATGAAGTTCCATTATTGTCCCCATCCATCTGAATGTTACATCATTAACAACTTCCGAAACAATGAAAGGAGCAACCCGCGATGAACACAAATAAAAGCTATGATTAAGAAGCATTTACAAATTCTTGCGAGTCGTATCAACGACTATTGAGATATGGAATTCACAGTGCTTGAATTGAAAGTAGTTATAGGGGCCTGCAGGATCGCGAGAGTCGGACGTGCGTACGGCCATTGCGCCGCGCACGTCAGAACTGCGTGCGACGGCCCAGGTAAGTGCCAGACTTATCCTGTTGAACAGGTTCATTCGGTTCACCACCTTTGCTGTTGGACAGTGTAGTGACTTGACCTATGAACGGAACGAACGGCTGAAGTGGATAAGTCTGGCACTTGCCTTAGTGACATCGGACGTGCGCGGCGCAATGGCCGTACGCACGTCCGACTCTCGCGATCCTGCTCAGATACTTTTTCCGGCTGGTGACCGGGCGACGACGGCCTTCCGGCCGAGAGCCGCGCCATGTTTTGGGGCGGAGCCTAAAACCGGCCGAGGAGCGGGCTAGAAACTACCACCGGCTGGCTTCCGGTCGCGTCCGCAAAAGCGCGCGAAGGCGCACAAAAACATGAATACCGTTAGATCCAATAGTGAGCATGCGATTTCATCATCACTACGCGCCTTACAAGACCTTTTGATTCTTGTTTTTTCGTGATTATTTTTGTGGTACTATGTCTTTCTTTACATGCTGTTCGTGTATTGTCATGTTTCATATCGCTCATCTTTGTTTTCAGTTTCAGCAGACTAAGAAGGCTTCCATGTCGTCACTAAACTGTCATATTGTTTGTGCTCAAAAATTTACTAGTGTTTTCGTGTGATTTCCCCTTGTTATTTGATCATTTGGTCTGCTTCCATCCCCACGAAAAAGGAGGACCCTCATAGGTACATGCTTGATTTCTTTATCGACCAGCATATCCTCAAACATTTTCCAGATTGGAGTGCGTTAGTTCACAAGTTGAAATGCTTGAGACTGCTAATGAAGGAATTTCTGCTGTGGTTGAGCTTGGATTATCTGCTTATTTGTCTGCTCCGGAGAACATTCTGTCTATATTATAAGTGCTCTAACAACTTGGTGGTTGGTTATTTATTGATGGTTGTCTGGAAAATAAGTGAACACATATGGAAATAAATAGTCTGTTCATCGGTGTTGTCCATGCATACTGCAAAAGGTGAGCAATTTGCTTCTTGTTTAATCTTCCTCTTTAGAATTGGAACTTGTAATGAATATATGGTTAATACGTAATGCGCATATGGATCTCTAACGCGGAAGAATAACATAACTTCAATTATGCCACAATGCTGCCGTAGCCTACTGCAGTTGGCTCTCATCTTCATAAGATCCCTGTAATCTTTATTTGCAGGTACACGCGGCTGACTTCTTACTTTTTTGTGAGATACGTGTCACGAATCTTGGGAGCGGAGTCGTTTCTTCTAGCTTCAGTTTCTAAGCTCAAGTCTACATGCGGATTTGCTCACTGTTTGTGTCGTGCATCCCAGAATTGTTCCCATATAAGCCATCAACGTGCCTGTCTTTCGATCGTTTCAACGCGTTGACTCCAGCAAATAAGGCGCTTATCCGAAGCACTGTTGAAATGATCGAAAGACAGCCACGTTGAAGTTCCGATGTGAACAATTTTGGAGAATGCACCATATGTAATGCAATATGTTCTTTATATTGTGTTTTGCACATGTTGTATGTTGTACATATGTTGAACATAATTCGTGTCTTCTCTGTTGTCCCTCTTGTAAATATCGAATAAAATATTATAAGAGATTTTTGTATAACACTATATGATTAGAATAATAATATTGTCAACGAAGCTAAACCTGGCGAGTCGTGCCCCAATAATCCGCTGCGCTGGGAAGCCGGCTGGCGTCCGCGCCGTTTGCGTGCCAACACCGGCTGGCGGGCGGCCGGCGGCCGGATCGCCCGGAATTGAGGTGTTGCCTCAGCCGGTCATCGCCCGGTCACCAGCCGGAAAAAGTATCTGAGTGCAGGCCCCTACGATGCCCAGATGTTTTGGCGCTACCTGCAGTTGACCTAGAAGGTGGAATTTCGGATTTCGCTTGAACTTTTCTGGCCGGATTATTTTGCACGCTTACGGATAACACATTTCGCATGAGTAGTGAAGAAGTAATGAAGGTGCTAGATTGCATCCGCGCGCTTCGGGAGCGCACCGCAGTTTCCCGCTATCTAATGTTTTTTAAAATGGCGTTACGATTCTTTATATATTAGATTAGAATAGATAGTGGTATCTAATAGAGTTACGGTAGGACGGCGGTGTCAAAACCATGGATTGGCCCCAACTTCGTGACTCGTACTCATAGTTACAAATGGCTGCGAAGAGCGCACCCCATGTCTTAATGCAAGTCTGTTTCCGCGCGGTACCCTGGCGATTAAGCGGGCACACCCTATAACTTCTAGCGCGAAACAAATGACACTGAAGGAAAAGCGATTTCTTTCTGCGGGAGAATCACAAAAAAAGTGCAGTTATTAACGTGCGATGATCTACCTTTCATCTCTTGACATCCAGATCATTCTTCATTGATATGATGCCTTGTTCCTGATCCCAGGAACCCCTTCCCCGCGCCATGTGTTGTATCGCGTCATACTCGCCATATGTTATCGCATAATACCCTTTGTGGCCTGACTCGGGCCAACCCCGAGGACGGCATTCTCGTCTTGTGTTGGTCCGGCACCCACCCGGCCTTTATGTTGCTGAATAACGATAAAAATTCAAAAATTCCACTGAACCATCTTGTAGCCACCACATGCCTCAAGAACTTAGCACGGATAAGAAAGTAGTGATTTGTTGTGCCAAACAAAGAGGGTCTTTCTGCACTGTTTCTTATGCGGCAGCCATAGGAAGAAGAAAGCTGCAGATCCAATTGTCAAAAGGTAATTATCATTCATTCTGAGACTAAGAAACGCTCCAATCAGGAAAGCACTTTTGACACATTGCATCTTCAATGATAGACCCCTTGGATAAAACCAACTCGAGCATGTTTAGACAACTTGTGTCCCAGAATGGGTAGTAGCTTGCGGGTAAGCATTGTAAGTTCAGATGGATTTCGATAGCTTGAAGGCAGTGGCTCGGCAAATCTCAACCTAGTCAAATTTGCGCCTACCTGGGGTTATTCAATACGCTGGTCCCGAAAATCCACTTTTGAAAGCTTGAAAACGGAGAGTGAGTTTGAGAGAAATGAGTTTTTTAAATGCCCCTCCCCTTTATATTGGATGAGTGGAGCAAGGCTGATGACGCTAAATCGTTGCAGGACCCAATGGTTATAGCATTGCGGCGGGCAGCCTCCAATGGTGAGAAGGAAATTGCCAACTCGTCCGGATGCGTGTAAGATTGACCTGCGCGTGTAAATTTGAGAGCAATTTCCTCGACAGGGAAAGCATGCTGTGCAACCGAGATTGCACTGTTTTCATACTTGGTGATAAGGAACCTACCACTTTGAAATCCTGACTTGTTGGATTTTGCCGATCCACTGCCTTCAACTGTTCGTGAAAATCACTGTGCACGTCAATTTCGGCGGCTTAGGTAGGCTTGGATACCTCCAGTTTAGGTAAGAGCTATCACGCTTTCCAGTTTACTAATTGTCACTAGATTTTCGCTCGCTACTTAGCCCTCGTTCATATCTCACAGAGTTGGATAAGTGTACAAAGGCATAAGTACGGCCTGTGAGAAATATGTGGTACTAGCTGGCTTACCCGGCTCCGCCGTATGTTCCGAATAGAAAATTCCATTTCTTAACCGATCCGGACCAAACTTGGCACACATACACTTCGGGCCCCGGCGGGTGTCACAGTCCACTTTTCGTTATCGATCGATGTCGATTTTATCGTGCTGATCGAGCATGCTGATCATCCCCGTGGGGGTGATCAGCATGCTCGATTACCCCCCTGTGCCAACTCCCAACCCCGTAGCTCAAATTTTGCAAAAAATCGATAAAATCGATAAAAGTAATGCACGATTTCAAAAACTAATATTGTATTCGGAATCCCCATGCTCACTTACCCCCCTGTGCCAAATCTTAGCCCCGTAGCTCCAATTTTGCAAAAAATCGATAAAATCGATATCGATCGATGACAAAAAGTAGCCTATAACACCCGCCGGGGCCCGAAGTGTATGTGTGCCAAGATTGGTCCCGATCGGTTCAGAAATGGAATTTTCTATTCGGAACATACATACATACATACATACATACATACATACAGACAGACAAACAGACATTCAGCTTTATATATAAGATAGATACTTCTAGCTTCTTCGCCTCACTCCTCATCTAAGCATTCCTTTAGGTATGATCGGCTCCCAGAGTCATGTGGAGGCGGTTTGGGACTTCCCTGATTTTAAAGGCAGTGGCTTGGCAAATCCTTGACCTAAAGCTTTTTCGCTTACCTGGGGTTATTCGACGCGCTGATTTCGAAAATACACCTTGAAGAGCACGAAAATGTTGAGAACCAGCATTTTCCAAGGAAACCCATTTTGAATTTGGACGAGTGGAACACTCCCCGCCATGGTTAGAGACGTAGAGTCGTTGCAGGACCCTCCTGTTCATAGCATTGCGACATGCCGCCTCTGACCGTGGGAGGGGGATCGCAAGTTTGTCCGAGCGCGTGTAAGAGTGGCTTGCGTGCACGGATTCAGGGGCACTTTTCTAGGCAGGGGCAGCATGTTGTGCGCTTGGAGCTGCTCTATTCTTATGTTTTGAATGCAAGCTAACTTCCATATCAAGTACTCGAGGTGTTAGGTTTTGCCGATCCACTGCCTTTAACACATTGACGACAAGGCCGATTTTTCGATTACTGCCATTTCGGACAGGAGACTTTTTTACTCTGCCAAACTTGCGACCCACCCGTGGGTCGTATTGTCCGAAATGGTAGTCTTTTTGGAAGAAATTCAGAACATGTCTCTGAGAATTTCCCCACAAGGGTTATCGAACGCGCTGATTACCAAAATATGATTTATTTCAGC